TTGCATTAGCACCTCTCGACGGAGACCCGAATTATATGTGCAGAACTCTTTAGTTTGCAAACTGAGAATACTCGCTGACACTGGATTGCAGTGATTAATTACTGATCGGATTCCAGTGCAGAGGAAGTGGATTTAAGTCCTCATGGGAAGTTTTCAGAAGTGATTTTGGCCTAAAATAGGGAACACGGAAGAGCAACGGATGTGCGTTAGGTGTGTGTTGCCCCGGAGAATGATGGGAAGTATAGTTTGGTTGTGCTAAATTTGTATTTTCTGCCAGCATTATTGCTTTTCTTCATCAACAGTACATGAAAAGTGAGTGAAGTCATTTAAAAAATAAACCTCATCTAATGGTGTGAGTTTGGGGCGGGGCTATCTGTTTGGCCAGCCAATGACAGACTTGTTTGATTTCCACTGGCAATTACAACATTGTGGTGACATTTATTGTTTTGCTTGTATGTGATTATCAAACATTATTTAATTAGTTTTTCTTAATTTTTTAAATTATTTTATTTTATTTTATTTTTTCAAATGAAAACCTTACCCAATGTCACAGCTGGTGATTGCGGTTTTATTGTTTATTTGTGTTATTATTTATTTATTTTTTAATACTTTGTGCGGCACTTTGTTCAACTTCGGTTGTTTTAAAATATGCTTTATAAATAAACATTGTATTGTATTCTATTAAAATATAATTAATTTGTTAAAAATTAATTATAATTAACATTTAACCCTTCATTTTAAAATGGACTAATATTTATTATATAATTTAATATTAATATTCTTTAATGCTTAATATTTCAGCAACAATAATTTGAATAATATTATTAAAATTATTTTATTCATTTTAATTTAGTGTAGTATTGTTCATTTTATTTATTATTATTTTTGTTTTTGTTTTTTATTTTTGTTAGAAAACAGAAAAATTCAATTCTGTTAATGAAAAAGAGAACATAAATTTTAATCAAATGTAACTTATATTTATTCTATTATTTAATATCTAATCTAGAATTTAATATTAATATTATTTTGTATTTAATTCATATTTAAGCAGCAATAATTTGAATAATAATATCACTAAAACAATTGTATTCATTTTATTG